AGATACCAGAAGTGTCTTACCTGGAGTCTTGGTTTCATTGGGGATGATACACCGTACAAAGTGGGGGTGAGTGCTCCTCAGGTTGGTCATCAGCTTATTCAAATTCTCCTGTGGAATTTATGAATGTTTGGTTTTAAAAAGCACTGTTTTCATACATTTCATATTTACAGACATAATCATTGTGACATCCGTGACATTGGCTCAATTCTAATAGTATCTAATTATAGGATCCAATAGTATCTAACTCAGATACTATCTGAATAGTATCCAGATTTGAAAATGAGAAGTTATTTCTGGAATTTCCACATTCCCAAAATGTCCTTCTCTTTCCTGTTTTTGTGCATTATAAACATGTTTTTCTATTAGTTGTTGAAGTGGTCACTGCTGCTGAATTTCCTAGTATGTGTTGTAGATTTAGTATGATATTCTAAAAGTAGGGAAATATTCTACCTGGACTTTCAGGTCTAGATGTGTGATCTGGCTTTAGAAATAATTCAGTGTCTTATTCCAAATCTCTTATTTCTTTCTTTACCCTATTTTCAATTGTATCTGCTTCTCTATCACATTCCTATTCCTTATCCTAATTACAGAGCTGTGTCCTCCTACTCATTCCACAGAAAGTGGCCTTTTAGTGCCTCACTCTGGGAATTGGCAGAACACCAACAGCCATGTTACCAAGTGTGAGAAGTGTTTCACCTTGTGGAAATCCTGGTTTTTCAGAATAACTAAACCTTCCGTTATTACAGATGGGATTGTCCTAAGAAAAGTAAATTTTCCTTCAAGAGCTATTTCTTATCACATCTGGTTTTTTATTTCCTTTGTTTATAATCAGCCTCCAATTCCCAACAGTGATCTTCTGTCTTTGGCTTTCAAAATCCACTCACTTCAGTTCTGAGCCAGTATATATCATTTGGAGGCTCCCACAGGCTCCAGCAAATCTCATGTTTTGCTTAGTCCTGTCCCAGCAGAACCTTTTAAATGTCAACTGACCTTATTTCCTGGTCCCCAAATTTAATTTTATCATCTGATGCTGACTTCTGCAATTCACTCTCATCCCTCCTGACACCTTGTCTCCTATATACTGAGGTGTCTCTTCCAAACAACCCCAAGCTCTCTAAGACACTGTTCTGCCACCGCCCACTGACCTGTCTCTTTGAGTCATGCCCAGTTCTGGAATCCTTACAAGATTACTTCCCTTTCCCCACAAATACAGTAAAATTTAAGTTCCTGAATCTAATAAGACGGAGCAAAGGAAGTTCGTACTCTGAAGAGAGCAGACACAGTCTGGAAAGAAGAACCCTTCTTCTTGCCGCCTTTCTTGCCACCGCCAGCCTCTAAGGGGGGCAGAGAGAGCACAAGCAATCATTGCACAGGCTTTCTCAGTGTATGTTTGATACATTAAATAAAAGATGACTTCTTTTGGAATTTACCTGCTTCAGCAGCTGCTGCCCCAGAGAAGAGGTGAGCCAGAGTCTTCATTGCAGACTTCTGGTACAGCCCGACCACGGTCTCATTCAGGGGGTCCTTGTTCTTGTCCAGCCAGCCACCAATGTTGTAGTCCACGGTGCCGGCATAGTGGACCAGGGAGAAGTGTGCCTCGGCCTTGCCTTTGGCAGGCTTGGGCTTCTGGAAGTTGGCTGACTTTCCAAGGTGCTGCTCATAGAGCTTGTTCTTGAAGGAGGTGTCTGTGGCCTTGGGGAACATGCACTCCTCTTCCAGGATAGAGAAGATGCCCATGGGCTGAAAGGATGAAAAGAAACAAATGCCTTTCAATTTTGTCTGCTTGTAGAAATAATATGTGACATCTTGATCCTATTTGAGTAAATTCATCCTTTAATTTCTTACAATTAATGAAAACTCATCCCTTCGGTCAGAAGTCGTTAAATTAGCAAATATTTATTGAGGGCCTATTGAGATCCAGGTGCTTTGTCGGGCTCTGGGGTGTGGTGGCTCCTGGAGTTTATGTCTTGCCCCATTGCTCCACAGCCGTATTTCTCTAAGTGTGACTTGCAAACTGGTTGCATCAGAAACACTTGGTGAAAATGAAGATTCCAAGGTTCCATCCCACACTTCCTAAAAAGTTTTCCCAGGAGTGAGATTAGAGAATTCTTCAATTTTCTTAAGCACTTGTGGTGAGACTCAAACTGAAGTTTGAGAGCCTCTGCTTTAAAGTACTAGAAATTCATATTTCAATTGCCAGTAAAAATGAATCTAAGGATGACAAAGGGATAATGAGTAAAAAATAATCTTTATAGTATGCTCTTATAAGGAAAGGTGGCTTTAAATATAAGGACTTGTATTGCAAACTATTGGGAAATCGAGAGTTCTGGACGCTAGAGAGACTGTTCACTCTCCTTTTACCAGAATGTCTCCCTCAGAGTTAGCAAAAGAAGGAGTTTTCCTGATTTTATTTATGAGTAGAAGTCTTTTAAGATTTTTCTCAGTGGCATAATTTGTGACCTGAAAAAAGCAAGCGAACCTTCTCAATGAGCTCGATGCAGGCAGCCAGGTCCATCCCGAAGTCGATGAACTCCCACTCAATGCCCTCCTTCTTGTACTCCTCCTGCTCCAGCACGAACATGTGGTGGTTGAAGAACTGTTGCAGCTTCTCGTTGGTGAAGTTGATGCACAGCTG